TTTAGGTACCTAGTACGCGTAGATGCTACTTTTTTAAAATCTTTACTGCATCTATACATATAAATACTTGAAATTGTCTAATATTTTTTATTAACATTCAGAAATGTTTCTTCTTTTGTGAAATGTTTCTTGAATGTGAACCACTAATTTTTAATTTTGAATTTAGTAAAAAATCAGGTTAAAAAATGAAAACGTCGCAAACTTAATAGCAAAACTTAATAGGGCATATAGGGTCCGGTTACTTTATTTGATATTTTCTTTAGATAATTCTAGAATAAATGACGCGTAATAATAAATAACTTCCTACTGTTTTATCAATATAATTTTCAACATTATTCTTTATACATATGTGGCTCTATCCGCGTAGTATACGAGATACGAATTTAATATACATTTTTTAATAGTTGTCTTAATTTACATAATTAAATATTTTTTGATATTTCAAAATATTCTTATCGTTATATACGTAATATTCTTATCCTTATAATCTTCTCTGCAATCATAAATGTTGATAACAGATTATGTTTACCGATTTGATGCAAATAGGAAACATACTTTGTTATTGCTAGTATTGTTAGCAAACTTCCACCAAATACGCTCCTAGATAGCCAAATTCTATCGAAAATAAATCTTCTAAAATCTTGCTACACATTTTGAAAACATAAGGCGCCAAATTTAATGCAAATTTTGTTGTACTCAAAACTATCAGCAAATTTTGTTGTACTTAAAGCTGTCAGCAAATTGATGACAAGTAACAAGAAACAAAATTTACTGATATGAGATCAAATTCAACAAGAGCCAAGCAAGATAATTTAACAGCAAATTGACGACAAAAGCTGATCAAACCTTGCTGATCTAATTTTATAGCAAATTGTCGACAAAAATTAAGCAAGATCTGTCATTGTCATACGCGGTCCCGTCATGAGATGTCCTCGCTTCTCGTAAAAAAAAAAACGCCCAGTCCTATAAGGAGACGTAAATCAAGTTGGCGAGTCCCCTGAAGATTCCCAAACTCTTTTGAATGGGGCCTCCAAATGTTTTTTTGATTATTTTATAACTTTGTCGTGTATATTTTTAGAATAAATCAATAATTATTGATTAACATCACATTCTAAAATATACACGATAATATTTCAGCAATAAAACTAAATTATTTGTATTTGACATCATTCTGTTGGCATATCTGGACAGATCTGGACTGTATTTGGTGCTATTCTGTCAACACATTTGACTACAGATTTGGTCTGCATTTAGTGTAGATCTGTTAGTGTAGATCATATTGCTATTACCAAATCTATTTTATTAGTTTCAATTTGATTTCAGAATATGTTCTTCAGATATGGTTTACATTGCATGTCTTATTGTAGACACAGTAGGCTCTGGTTTTGGCACTTAATTTCATTGGAGTTTAATGTCAATTTGACAACGATTTAGGAACAAAATGTTTGTTGAGTATATATATGTATATATAAGATGTCTCAAAAATAGATTAGATACCGCATTGGGGACGTAGAAGCGGTCAAGAGAAACAAAAAAGTCTTATACGATTTCGAGACATTCGTTGTAGTTTTCAAATTAAAAAAGAAAATATCCAAGCGGCGAATTCATAGCACGATCTATCGCGCTTCACTCGATTACAGCGAATATCTCAAAATGGAATAAGACTTTTTTCCTTGATCTGTTCTATGCCCTCAATGCGGCACCTACTCTATTTTTGAGACCGTGTATATGTGTATGTGTATATGTGTGTGTTGTGTGTGTGTTACGCTCGCTTACTTTACACTTATGTAGCTGTGTGACAAACTCGTACGCGCCTCGCGAAAATAAAATATAGGTTTTTTTATATAAGAATGAGAACGTTTTTTATTAAACGTGTCAAACGTCAAAGCTCATAACAACACAACCATCGTTAGGGAGAGGATCCTCTCTTGTCTTCCGGGTGTACAGTAATAGCTTACAAGAGCTACTTCTTCGCAAAATTATATGACATACGATAGCGAGTGGCAAAAGCCTTCGGCGCAACTGCACTCCTTTTTTAGGTTGTTGTCCCGACAACCAATGTACGCAGTCCCAAGAATAAGAATTGAGTGATAGCTTCTTGCCCTACTTTGGGCAATCTACTGCATTGATTGCCGAGTTCATCCTCTTCCTCAGTCTTAAGACCCACTTTTAGACTTGAACACTTGTTTCTTGACTTTGAATGCTTGTTTCTTGACTTTTCAGATAAGGGGGAGTAGAATCAGTATTCGTAGAATAGAAAATTATAAGTTTTAAGTGTTGTTATACAAAACAATGTATTCTTTACTTTTTTCTTAATAAATAGAATACAAACAATGCAGTAGAATTGTATTCGTTACAATAAATATTCTATCGATAAGATAAATCAGATAGCTTATGATACCATTTTTCGAGAATATATATAATATTCAACCGTTTTCTATTAATTTTTTTAAGCAGGGAATTGTCCATTTCTTATAATATCTATTAAATTAATATATTTTTTATTATATCTAAATAATTACGCGCGCTGATTATAACACAAATAGACAATAAGTAAAACATTCATAAATTAAAGAAATGATGTAGCATGAAACACAAAAAATTCGTAATCCATAGGTCTCTGGTATGACTTCACTAATGTGTTTTCAAAATTAATTTAAATGTCTGTTTTCAGGTAAGATCACCGCACCATACACTTATAAACACTTAATTTAAAATAGTTCCACGGTTCAAATATCGCCCAATCGTGGGCGAGGCAATCTTTTGAAACAATCAATCCTTCTCTGGCCATTCACAGTCATCAATTCAGTTCCTTTTCACTAGAAGCTCAGTGTTTTGTTCATTATCAATCTGATTCTTTCAATTCCTTTATGCACGTAAATGAACGAACGGAAAATTAATACGTAAAGGAAAGTATCATTTCTAAATTTGAAACTTAAAGTTTAAATATAATATTTTATCCAGATTCCGAATGTAATCGTCAGTGACTTCTACACAATAACTATGAACTACCCTGAGAAATTATCTCCCAATAAAAATTATCAGCTTACCAAATAAATGCCACTGTTCCTCTATAACTATTAAATTTTCGAGTTAAAGTATGTAGTAGTGTTTTAATAGTAAATTTTCATGTTAAGGCTCCTGACTCGGCCATCAATACAGAATCAGACAGCGACCTGGCGAAATCGGTAGCCAATAGCCACACACCAAGCACGAGCCCATGTACATGTGCTGACGCGCCAAAATTTTATCGATGTAATTAAAAAACAATCCGATACTCAAAGGGTTCAATATTCATTTTAATTTCATCATTCTAATTTATAATTTAACAAAATTAGTATATTTAAATTTGTGAAAGACAAAGAGATAACGTAGTAGAGAGAGAAAAAGTAAGAAGAAACGTGTTTTTATAAACGTGTGAATGCGTCCGATCAGTATGCGCTCACTTGCGTCTAACCGTGAGCGCTGCTCCTGCCCGTCTCCTCTACGTGGCCCGTGATACCCTATTTCTTCTTGTAATTTGAAAACTAAATTTCAGACAAATTTTCGCAAAGAAAAATCGTCTTAGAATTAAGTCAGGAATATAACACTTTGAGGACAAATGTTTATTCTGAATCACCCCGTATAGTATATAGCAGAGCAAAAAATGTATATAATGTTTAAGTTAATGATTTTGCTTAATAATATATATGTAATGTTTTAATTAATTATGTAACGTTTTCTTGATGTACGGAATATTTTATTTGGAATCAAAAATCTGTTTTATCGACATCGATCAAGTTCGGCTGTCACTCCAGCCTCCTCTTAAAAAACAAACTTCAATGATCTCGATCTTGATATGTTCAGGTATTGAGCCTGTATGACCTTCAGAAGATTTTGGCATTATTTATTAAAAATTAAATTATTAGCCGAACAAATTTTATCAAATACTTTACTCAGTAAATACAGGATATATCCTAAGTACACTAAAAGATTTTTAGGGCTGATTGTTCACACAAATTTAAAACTAAAACTTCATATAATGATTTTTGTCGGAAACGGCTTAATTTCAAAAATACAAGGTGTTAAAATTGAAAAAAAATTTTGTTTGTTCAAAAAATTTCAAAAACTATTCTAGTTATTTTGATGTCTCTTGGTTACTTATGTTTATTGAAAGTTTATGTTTGGGATTATACATTATTTATAAAAGATAGGACAAATCTTAAGAAATCCTAAAGATCAAAGACCTCAACTCCGCAGGACTATATAATATACCTTGTTCCTGCGGGCAAATATATATTGGAGAAATCAGGAGAATGGTTAACCTACGGATAAAAAAACACCAATGTGATATCAGACTAAAACACGTCATACAATCAGCATTATCAGAACACAACATCGAAACAGGACATCAAATACTGTTTGACGATCATAATAGCCATCATTACATCATACTTTCCAAGAAAGTATAGAGAAGCCATAGAGATACAAAAACACCCTAACAATTTAAATAGAGATGGCTACAACATAAATAAAAGATGGAAAACCATTCTCCCAGTTATTGAAGACTGACCAATTTCTCCTCCACCCACAATTCTATTCTTTTCCTCCATCACTCCAACAAGTAGTTATATAAAAAGGAATGGCCCAGAGCTCAGTATCAGGCTGTTCCTCGCCCTGATGAAGTGGACTGCAAGGTTTACGAAACGTTAGCAATCGAATGGTTTTTGAAATTTTTGAAAAAAACGAAATTTTTTTCCAACTTTGATACCTTGTATCTTTGAAATTAAGCCGTTTCCGACAAATCGTCATATGAAGTTTTAGTCTTAAATTTTTGTGAGCAATCACCTTTTAAAATCTTTAGCGTACTTAAGATACATCCTGTATTTGGTTGTGTAAATATACCGATAAAATTCTTTCTTATTTCAAAACGATCAAATTATGTAACATTATATTTCTAAATATCTTGAAAACTGTAACTTCGACATCTAATTATAAGGCAAAGTTATTCAGTCAAGACCAAAGTTATCAACGCCGTATCCTTTAATCCAAATATTTATCAAACGTTGCTGCTCCTTCAGGTAATGCTTTATGTTCTCACAGCAGCGATGGTATCTCTTGGCGTTGCTGTTGTCGCTCGTGTTTGAGTTATCGTAACTTCTCAGAAAGAGCCTGTAGCATCACCGTCTCGAGTAGAAGCTTCGGGGCATCGACAAGTCGCTTCTTCCTCTTTTATACGAGAGGACTTCTCGTATAAAAGTGATCGATGTCGTCGAACGTACAAATTCTCTTCCGAAGGTCGATGTTTGGACAAGCTCTCAAAATGTTACACTCACGGCACGCTCGCTCACTTAATTTATACTCGTGCAACAAACTCGCTCACATTTCGCGGAAATGAAAGACACGTTTTTCGAACACGAACAGGAATGTTTTTTATTAAACATATCAAAACTGTGAACGCACATCACAGCAACGCACGTTGCTAGGGAGAGGATCCTCTCTTGTCTTCACGGAGGGAAATTTATGACGATTTCAGCATGGACAACCGATACTACTGTCGCGTTGTATTCTTCGATGCTAATAACGCCACGTTCGATCGATTTATGCATAAAATTATGCAAACATAATATGAGGAGTATGTATCAAAAATGAGAATGAAATACTTGCATTGGTCGCACCAGCTTTTTATAATAGCACGAGCGCAGTATACATAAAGCACCCCCCTCTGCGACAGAGATTTACTTCCATACAGCACAGAACGTTGAAAGAAGATGTTGAATGTTGAAGTTCAATAGCTACGTTCAGCAATGTTTTATCAATGTTGTATCTATATTGATTCTTCTATATTGATTATTAATGTTGCTGCAACGTTAAAATAATATTGAACAAATTATATATCAAAATCTATTTTATTTTACAAAAAATGAACAAAAATAGAATGTTGTATAAATAGAAAATTTAAATAATTTAAATAATTTGATTTTTTAACGAAACTCATTTCTAAACAATATATACAAGTATGTTTACGCGGGAATTGGCTGCGTGCAGAATGCTCGTTTGATATTATTTGTGTTTGATCAGTCTGATGTGCGACGTATCAACTTGTGATCTTTCTATGTTTAACTATGTCACAGTTATACATCTACTAACATTCAATATTCAAATTATTGAAATATAGCAGTACGATTACAGAGATTCAACACCATTGGATGGGGCATAAGATTAGATGACTGCTTAGAAAAATAAGAAAATTAATTCCCAAATGAAGGGGAAGCAATTTTTTCAATTATAATTTTGTCATGTATGTTCCGAAATATGATCCCTGAAAGCCTGCAGAGACAGATTTTGAGCAGAGCCTGCTACCAATTTTTGATTGCAGAAAATCGAATAGGCAAATCTCTCCTAAAGATTCCAAAGCTCTTTCGGAGGGTGCTTTCTGAATCTCCAAATATTTTTTTGACTATTTTATAACTTGTATATTTTTGAAATGCGAAGCTAATAACTTTAGCAATAAAACTATATTGATTGTTTCCAGTTTTTACACCAATATATATAAATATATAATTATGTATAATTATATATAACTGTTTTTACATAATGTATATGTACGCAAAATTTCTTATAAGAAATCAGGTCGATTTAAATGAAAATGACAGATCGTGTTCGGTTTTTGCTGCCAATCTACCATCAGATTATGTCAGCAACCTCTGCTTGGTTTTTGCTCGCAATCTGCTGTTAGATTATGTCAGACTCTGCTCGATTTTTGTCAGCAATCTGCTGGCAAAACCTGCAAGCTTTGTCAACAAATCCATAACCAAATGCGGACACAGATGGCTATGCTTTTGTAATCAAAATCTGATCGAGTTTGCTGTCCATTTGCACGTAAATTGCTAACATTTTGCTATCAGGGATGTTAATCAATAATATTTATTTTAATAATAATACTGAATTAATTAAATAATAAGATTCATATTTTAGACCGTACATGTGAATTAATTAATATGCGAAAAATTTTTTACCGGGGAATCACTAAGTGCATCCAGAAGCACAACTGCTCACTGAGCATTCAGTGAGCTCTTGTATCTGTTTGGTTTATATTTTTGGATCTAATGTAATATGCCAATCAGATGCAAGAGCGGTCGTGCTTCTGGATACATCTGTATATACATTGAATCAATATTGAATCAATGTTGAATTGCAACGTTTGTGAGACATTGCAATATAACGGATATTAGACGTTTTTCTGCAACGTCTCTCTTCAACATTGAATCTACATTTTTCTTTCGCAATGTTACTACAATGTTCACAATGTTACAATTCAACGTTTCTGAGATATTGATTCAACGTTAGTGTATGGGAAAATCAAAACCCGTGCAATTTTCGCATGCGTGTCTTGCTGGTTTCTATAAACTATAGAATTTAGGAAAGGGACGCGGCTTATTCACTGATCGCAAGATGTCCATGCAAAAAGCACGCAGGTTTCGAGTGAATCTCGCACGGTAGTGGGATGCTTTATGATATATACTGCGCTCGTGCGACTATCGTAAAAAGCTAGCACAAACAATGCAAACATCTCATTTCCATTTTTTATGGATACTCCCTTATGCTATGTTTCCATGATTTCGTATTAGTTTTTCACTGTACTGCGCATATTCCGCCATCGTAAAAATAATAGGAGAAATATTTCATTTGTGCGTTTTTGTTATACAACAAATTTTTCAAGCCTGTCGATTGGCTGTCGGCTATGGGATAGAGAGATCCGAGGACCTCTCAGATCTGTACACATTTATCGTACGACAAAAACACACCAATAAAATAGCACCCTAGTGCGACCAGTACATGTATTCATTCTCTTTTTTCATAGAAACTTACGTGCTATGGTGGCACGATTTTATACATAAACCAATTAAACTATTAGCATCAAAAAATATCACGCGACAGTAGTATCTGCTATCCATTTCGAAATCATAAACAGATTTTTTTTCTTGTTCTGGATATATGAGCGGCGAGAAATTTTGGTGCACACTATACGGTGTACGATAGCGAGTGACGAAAGCCTTCGACACAACAATATACACAGAGTGATTCATTTTAATTCATCTAGTAGAATATTTCCTTAGGTTTGAGATAAAAGTTTCAGACGAAAGTTGTCAATTACAAGGGAAAAGAAGATGTTGACTTTAAGGTCTTAATACCTTTAAGATCAAGTTAAAATTACATAAATTTTTTTAAATCTAATTATATACATACTTTTACATAACATGATATCTCTAATTATTCTGCATATAAAAGTATTAAGATAGAGATGCCAACAAAGTAGTTCACGGGATCTGGAGATACGGTAGTGTCTCGTCGCTAAGACAAGCGAAGCGACATATTATATTATATTTTATACCTTATCCTGACAAATGTTGACATGAAATATCAATCCTCTACTCGTGTTCATTTCCTATACAGAATATTAAAAAAAAAAAATCGGAATCCTAAATTTACTCGAATGATGTTTTTGAAAGAAATGTTTTAGAACAAAAGTTATAAAGTATAAAAAGATCTATTTACAGATCTTATCAGTTTGATCTTGGGTGGCGTTGCCAAGATTAGGTCAAGATAAAATCGATTTTTTTTTAATGGGATATCCTATTTTTGATGCTAGAATTAAATAGCTAGTATCAAGAGCTTTACAAAATACTGTAATATAGTAAAACAGAAAATATAACCATAAGATGCCGGATTTAAGATTGCAATCCCCTTAATGCTAAAAGAATGTCTTGCATGTATTGACATAACTACAGCAGCACATGGCAAACTTCTAACAAATTAGCGCGCCGTTAGTATCTTGTACATCCTCTTATTTAAAAAGACTGTTTAAATTATTATAATGGAATGTTCTGTAGAAGAATTTATTTTTTATAGTTATTACGTTACAAGTAATATTCTAACATTTATTTTTTATAGTTTTCTATTAAATGTATAATTAAATGTATAATTGGGGTACCGTACATTAAATATTCATGATAACGGGACAATACAGAAAATATAAAAGAGTATTAAAAGAGCTTTTGTCATCATTATTTCATAATCCTACTATTTTGTATGTTGACTTATAGTATCTCGAATATAGGGCACCATGAGTCATTTCTTAAAAAATGTTTTTAGTTTTTTCTTAAAAACTTAAATAAATATTTACTAAATATACTTATTAAATTTTAAAATATGCATTATGTTTTAAGTACTAAAAAAAATGATACAAAAATTTTTATATTTAGATGCACTTTTAAGAGTTTGAATTTTTGTGACTTATGGTGCCCGTCTTCCCTATATAATTCCATTAAAAAAATTTTAGTTTTAAGGACATCTTTTCAAAGTCAATCAAAAAGTCCATCTTCTTTTCCCTTTATAACTGAGCAATTTTTGTCTGAAACATTTTTATTTAAATGTAAGGATTTTGAGATACTCTATTGGATGGATTAAAATGGATCACTCTGTGTATATGTGTGTATATATACATATACATTTTATTATTGCCATTATCATTATTATTTATTTTTTAAACGTTGCATAATTTATATTAAATTAGACTATTTATTCTTAAATATGAAAGAAAAAGGAGGAGGAGGAGATAATCGTAACCGTATTTAAGGCTTGTTCATTTACTATTACTATTTCAGATTGTAACGTTAGAGGCAAAGAAATTCAAGTAAAAGTTCTTGCAGTATATAATATAGAAAAACACATATTTTAATAAAATACAATCATCGATAGAACCGATTTGTAAAATGTACCGAAAACTCTTTTATTTCATTCGTAAATAAATAAATATGTATAACTGTAAATGAATTCTGCACATTTAAAAATAAAATAAGACATGTTCATAGTTATAACAAATTGTGGAACTAATAATATGTAGAAGTAAATATAATTTAATTTCTCTCCGAAGCAAGAAAATTTTCAATATATTTAATAAATGTATTCTATCGATTGCAGATATTATTTTATTGAGAAATATTTTTATTTAAATATAACTTTTAAGAATTTTTATTTTACGTTTTTTCTTTATTGTGACATTATAATCTAAAATTATAGTAAGTGAACAGGGGTCCTAATAAAGTGATTAAAAAGTGCGTTGTTTTACTTGATTAATGTAAATTATATATACTTTATTATTATTCATGCTGATTATAAATGAGTATTTGTGCTGTTAGTTTGCATCAGGACATAGATGTATAAAAAATTATTAATATTGTTAAAGGATTGTCTTGAAAAGGTATTTACGATACACAGAAACAATACACGTGAAAATCTTTGTAGAATATATCTGTTAAACAATTCATAGGAGATTACACTGAATAATAGAGTAAAATATTCTTTACTTATAGAGAGTAGAAAAAGGAAGAGAGACAATATAAGTTGTAATGGAAGCAAAGTAAACTACCGAATCACATCGCTTTTTGAAATATTTGCTTCTTTTACATGTTGCATTCTAATGTTAGCGAAACTTACAGTTTTCCTCGTCCGACGAATCATCAGGTCCACAATTATCAATGTTATTGCACCGTAGCGATTCGTTGATGCAATATTTGCTTTTACTGCATAGAAATTGGTTCTCGCAATCTGTGTTCATGCTCACTTCGGTCCACACAGCTCGAAAGCCTTGTTGCCCTACTGCTTTATCAGCTGATATAAAACTGTGAATATAACATGAGAATTTATTAAGAGTATCTTACTGAAAGCCTCATTGTTCATATGAAGCGTAACAAACCTGAGTCGCATATTATGATCTTCTGAAAGATAATCCCATTTAGTATTAGGATCTTTGACACCACAAAGCTCACGAGGAATAGAAGAATACCACATGCGTAACACGGCTGCAGGACAACCTCGTACTGAAAATAATTATAAAAAAATTAATAATGTATTACAATTTGAATATTAAATATATGATATTATTAAAATAAAAACAATAATATAAGTATTAATATGCAAATGAATATATAGAAGTTATGTTAGAGAAATTGTGTTAGAAGTTGTACTGGAAAAGTTGTATTAGAAATTGTAGCATGACAGAAAAAAATTTCTCCGAAAAATGTAAAAATTATAGCATGAAAAAAGTTTCTCATATAAAAATTAATCGAAAATGAACAATAAAATTTCTCCGCATAAGAATTTATTTTTAAGAAAATTTATTCAAGAATTAAAAAACAGCTTTATATTTTTGTCATATCATGGCGCGAGACCGGCTGTGGTTCTTACGCGAGTCGGTGAATTGTGGGGGATCGAAATTATTGGATTTCAGTAATGGCTAGATCGATCGAGTTCTTTGTACGCTCAATCAATAGCTTCTACTCGGATTGTGTAATAAAAATGCTTTTATTTTGTATTACGTGTCTTACGAGCGGAGATATTGCGATGCAAAAGTTCGGATTTGTCACTTTTCAAGATACATCGTCGTTATTATGTACACTCGGCAGCAAAAAGGTTGCAACAATTTTTTTTCAGAATATGGCTTGTTCACCGCGCGATTGGTTCTTACTTATGGATCTATCCAATTACGTTCAATCGCTTTACAAGCAAGATTGAGTTCCAAAATCCATCAAAAAAAGTGTCGTAATCTTTTTGCTAGCAAGTGTACATACATATTTATCATTTTTAATTGGCATTTTGTATAATTTAATATTATATATACTTTAATATTAGGTGTTGGAATTAATTCGTAGCGTTTTTAAATGAAAGAATGTTATTTATTTCACATGAGCATTAAAAAATACATTAATGAAAGTACTTCCCATCACTTGTAAAACGCTACGAATTAATTCCAACACCTAATATTATATAATTGGTGCTATGATCTTACTATACATTCACCTTACGAAAATTATTTTCTCGCTGTGCGCGACAAAAATATACATACGTAGAATATTGTCTAAATGTATTTGTCGCCATCGTTATCTCTTATTACGAAAAAATGCAAGCAGAACATGCTGCGTGAAGAATCGAGCACATGAACGGGAATGGGTAATATACATATAAAATACATTTATAATTATTTCTGAAAAATGATATTTCGGAAAGTAACTTTTTTCATATTCAAATAATTTTTTATTGAATTTATCTTAAAATAATCTTTTATTTTATCATTAAAAAAAATCTTAATTTGTTTTAAAAAAGTTAAGCGGTAACGGTTTTACAAACAAATAATTTACAAAAAAAATGTTTTTATCATAGTTATAACCTTCTCATGAAGCCATTCAATTTTCATTGTGTTAAACTTTCTATTCTTTATAATTTCAGAGATATTTGCTTTGAAAGCAATTGCAAAAAAACTGATTTTTTTCGAAGGGATGCTTCATCCCCTAAAGGTACGTATGAGTATGTATATAAAAGTACATATTCTTTATTTTTGTCTATCCCTTTGTTAGCTCGTAAAGAACAACATATTAGAAGATCGTCAAAATCAGAAGACGACACTTCAATGTGTTTCCTTGACAATAATATTGAAACAAAAATATTGAAACGCTCAATCTGATTGTAGTTGCAAGCGTATCAAAATCTTCTAGTAAAATTTCAATTTCAAAACATTCTGACTATTCTCAATTCGCGAATGTACTTACTACCTTAAGAATAATATACACCTATGTTATAATATTAATGTTATAAAATTAATTCATAATAAATCCATATATTACCTAGTTGATCACCTTCTACGGAGAAGACTTCAAAGTTTAAGAGTATTCGCTGATCTGGTCGAACTCTTATAAACCAGTTGCAACTTTTACTAGCTAAGTTTTTTGCCGGTCCATCATAATTATTTGGGAAATTTGGACTAGTTATTATACCATAATTTAGACTACTAATATTTGATCCACAATCTATAGCATAATGATTTAAAAAAGTTAATATCACTAATAATAAGAGCGTAATTATCTGAAATTAATATTATATTTTCAAATTATAAAGAAATAAAAATCATTTTTTAATTTAGAAAAAATATTATTCCCTAATTTAAAATAAATATCATTTTGTAATTTAAATTACATAATATAAACGGAATGTTTAACTTAAAGTTACGCGTGAAAGACTTTAAATTTAATTCCTTTTTCTTTACTTGTTCTGGTAAACATCCTGTTTAGAAAAACCCTCTTAGAGGAATCCTTTCCAATGATCTTGACCGTAACATATGTTGTCAAGATCATGACCATAAATGAGCTTAGTCGGTGCTCGTCCTTTGTTAACAAAAAAGTTTAAGAAATAATATCCCTTCTCTATCATATAAAATAAAAATTCTCTGCTTTAAAATATCTTTTACGACTTTCCACGCAAAGCGAATTCCACCCTATCTCCCCCTCTAGATGATATTTTATGCCGATGGATCTTATTTCGAGTAAAAAGTCATTACATATATGGAGAAAAATACGAGATATAATTCTTAATATTGTATCTACTAAAAAAGAGAGTTTATTTCTTAAACTTTTTTTTGTTAATAACTTTTTGGCGAAGGACGAGCACCGGCTAACACCTTCTGAAGATCACTCAAGGCAATGTCATTGAAGAGGACTCCCCTAAACAGGATACTTACCTTTGTTCTATTATAAAGAGACAAAGCATATAAGAGTACCTCCAAAAATAGGTTTAGCGATTTCAAAAGTATAACGTGCTTTGAAGCCGCTGTAGACAAGTTCAGAATCGGAATGTAAGATCACTTTTAATCCAAGAGCACCGAGATTTGACTCTACCGGGCCCGGTGCGGTCCCGCCGCAATACCTTCCTATCAATTTCTCCGTATCGTCTCGGTACATGTTATAAATCTCTAGCCAATCTTCCTGGCAGAACTCGTATCTGATAAATAAACAAAATTAATTTTAATTAATATATAATGCTATAATATAGAGTATTCCGAGATTATTGAAACAACGCTTATTGAAACAACGTGAATAGATAGAGTGGACTAGACTGAATCAAAAAGTTTCATTTTACGTTTTTATCAATAGTTAATGAAATATTAATTTCTAGAGAAACGCGTATTCAGCCGGCCCATTGCCAAATGTAAGCATACGGCGAGGCCTGTTCTTTTTAGCTGAATTTTTGCACCAATTCATCTTCCTCTTCTTTTCTCCCGGAGAGGAAAGAAAAATGAACTGGTACATAAGTTCGATTAAAAAGAACAGGTCTATAATTTCCCAGTCAAGATTGCTAGGCGCGCGAATTTATTAGAAACAAAGCAATGTGACTACAAACGATCAGCGTATATCATTGGACTCCCTCTCTGAACTATGATCATCACCCATTTTTTTATTAAAAATTTTCTAATATCAAAATATATTTTTATTCTAACGAAAGTGATCATGATGAAAATGAGTGAAAAAAATCTTTTTGCGAAAGCAAAATATCTTGTTTCTTTCTGTTGAATGAAGAAATCAGCAGTTAGGAAAAATAATTTATCACTTAGCTATTTAATTATTATATCACACATCAATTTATTTGCACTTTTGTTATTTTAATTCGTAACATAATTGTTTGATTTATATAATGTAATTATAAAATTTTATTCTTTAAGTGTGTGTGCGTGTGGCGTGCGTGCGTGCATGCGTGTATACATTATGGTACATAATAAGAAAATATATGTACTTTTATACGTACATACACTTATACAACTTTATAAGTGTGCCACATCTAAACGCAATTCGAATTTCGGAAGAGATAGATAAAAAAATGTTCAACACTCATCATTAGAATTGAAGCCCAAGTTTTCTTATTCCACTTACGTATATATTATTCACACGTATATAGAAAAACGCAAAAAATAAAAAAAAATTATGAAAAAATATCACTTAAACTCATTTTCAAAGTCGTTTATAGTGGACTTCGAATCAATTTTTCTAACGAGTATCAAATTTTCTGACACTCATTTTAGTTAATAGAAGATAGGATACTATAACTTCTAATTGTTACTTTTTCAAAACTAATTGGACATCTGGGTAATTTCCCTTGTCAGATTAGTCCACTCTACTTGGATAAATACTGTATCAATAACTACAAAACATCCTATTAATGCTGCAAGAGAATTGTACTTACCCATAATATCCAATTGTCACATTATCGTTTCTTGTGCGAACTTTAAAGTGATCGAAGATTAAAGCAACCTGTTCATCTGGCGTCGCTAGAAAGAAATACGTGCAATTCGTGTCGCTCGGATAATTGCTAGGATATCGTGGTGAATTAAATTCGCCACGTTTACGAGAAGAACTGCGATAAGTAAAAGTGCAACTGCCATCGGGTGCTGCAGTACCCGGTATCTTGTACTCCGTTTCAAAAGTGTACCTATCAATCAGAATTAGATTAGATTAAAAATAATAAGTAAAAATATTAGGAATTAAGTTATAATAAAATTGAACAATTAATAATTTTTAACTTAACTTATTTAAAATCAGAATTTAATTAATTCACAAGGAAAGAATCCTTATAGATATATGTTTGGACATAAAACTTTCTTTCTACTATTGTTCTATTGATCGAATTATGTTTTAGGAGAGAGGAGACATGATTTGCCACTATCCAAACATCGTTCTATCTTTTTTTAGGTCTGCCAAAATCTTAGCTTCGATGCTATGCTCCGTCTAGAGTTACTCTAACAAGAGTCGAGACACAAGCGGTCCTCTTCGTGATTGATACCGCCATGTTTCAATTTGTTAATGTGTTAGTGAATGTAAATGAATAGGTGACAGCAATTTTTATAGGTGTGGTATCACGTTCATCAAGATGGTGACGCGAAGGCGGATGTTTTTTCGTTCCATCTGAGCTTAATTCTCTTAAAATAATTATCGCCAGTCTAATTTTGGCCGTATTGATTCTCTTCTTATTTTTCCGAGGGCAGATGTCATCATTAAAGAAGAATAAGAATTATTAGCCGTTTTCGATAAGACTGAAATATGGCGTCCTTTTTGGCGTCCGGTTTTGTGTCTCAACTCTCACTAGAATGATTATAGCTCCGTCCAATCAGTGATGCGAATTTGACCCCACGCAATTCAGAGAATCAACCCCTTTTGTTCCATCAATTGACGCCACGTTGGCTAGATATAATAGAGAGTGGCCGTTAATTGGTGCAGCGACAATTATAAAATAGTAGAGGACTTTTCTTCTCAGTTTAGTGCATTCTGTGCGAAAGACTTATCACTAATTTTCAAACACTCTGTATATGTAATATATACATATTTTGTATGGATATTTTTTGTATGTATGTATGTATGTATGTATGTATACAAAACGCTATTGCAAAAACTAATTTTTATTATGTTCGCAGCAATCACTCAAACACTATAATTCTAGTGGCAGCAGATCATGACTTGTAGCGGGAATAATTTTGTACAAGTATATTATGATCAACCCAAAAATGAATTTTTTTCGAACTCATTACGAACAGAAAAAGAATTTCTTTAAATTAACTTTAATTTAACTCTGTAAGAAATACTTTTATAGAGTCCTTTGTTAATTGTCGAAAAGGAATTCTTTTTAAGTTTGAACAAATTACGCTAATTCATAAAGAAGTCAAGAAAATGAATTCTTTTCAAATGGATTAGTTGTGCTATGTATGTGCTTGTTCAAAAATAGTACGATAGAATTTTAAAAAAGTAATCAATGAAACTGAATCTTTTGATTGATTTATTTTGAATAATATTATATTAAATATGCACTCACTTAGCTTTAAAGCCTTGTGCCTGTAATTCTCCGCTACTGAATACCATCACAAGTCTCGGCCCGTCGCTGACTACATAATTTGGATTACTATTATTACCACACATCTCATAATCGAATTTGTCGTAAGAATCCGTTGCTTCTTGACCTTTTAAATATAATTTTAGATAGCCATCGGTACACGACGTCCTGAGAAAGCCCGAAAAAGAGTATGGTACAAATTGACATTTACGCAGGTAAATGTTAAATTTACCTGCCCCTCCCCCCACATATCCAATTTTGATGAAACCAGGCTTATTCGGCGCATTTTTATATAAAACGAACGAATATGGCAGTGAAAAATGTCGCTCTGCGAGATATTAATCGTTAAAAAATCGCAAAGCGAGATATTAATCGTTAAAATCGACGATTATTCAAGTTAGAAAATCTGTCATAGAGCCGAAACGAGGTCTATAATGATTACAATTGTATTGTTGTACATAGATTTCAACTTTCCACGCGAAGCGACTTCCATCCCATGTCAACTCTCACTTCCACCCCCCTGTCAAGGGATGCACGACTTCTATAATTGTACTGATGTACGTGGGTTATGACTTTCCACGCAAAGTGAGATCTATTTGTATAAAAAGTCGTATGTTCCTTGACAGGAGGAGAGTAGAAATCGATTCGTAGAAAGTCGAAACTCATGTGCAACAGTATAATTATAGAAATTGTGCGACTCTTGGCACGGAGGATATGGGAAGTCGCTTCGCGTCGGAACCTTGATCACTAATGATTAATATCTCGCTTCGCAGGACAAAGCGGCACTTCTTATTGCCAGATTCGATCGTTTTATGTAAAGACGATAAACCTGGTTTTATCAAAATTGGACGTGAGGAGAGCTAAACTTAACTTTTACCTTTATGCACTATCATACTGACATTTAGTAAATATATTTATTTAATACTTACTCTCCCTTGGGCATCTGTATTGTAAATACTTGAAATTCCAACCGCACGCGCTCTAGATGTTGCGAGTCTTGCATGCCATAGATGAAGTAACGGCAAACAACCTTAGGTAAGTAAGGATATGGAAAATTAGGACTAACTACGAATCCTGATGTTTCCTTCTTACTAAGGATTTTTTGGTCGCATTCAGACCCACGGATATGCTCGCCTTGATATTCTGTTATGAAATCTGTACAATGGAAAAGATAATAGTATTAATTAATATCTTTACTTGTATCTTTAATTGTAAAGATTTATAAACAACAAACAGGCATCATAATAATCTCACCTAGGCTGACAAAACTCTCTGAGAACTCAAAAATGCCTTTAAATCCTCGATTTTGCGTATTTGCCGTGCGTCTCAATGTTGAAAATAGCACAAATAAACTGTTCTCTGAGGAATATAATACTAAATTTCGTTGCTGACCACAGTAAGTGCCGATAACAGCGGTCGAATTATCAGGACCATCATACACTTTTACATAATCTAACGGGCAACTATGGAATAATTTTAAATTTCCTCATTAATTTGATTAAACTATATCATTTGCTATACATACATAGTACCTAATATAAATATATAAATTGATGTAATAAATATATATATTTAAAAATGTAGAATATTCTTCTATAATATTTAAACAATGCATTAATTAATAGAAAGAAAGCAACAAAAGTTTTTATTTTATAAAAATAAATTTTCTTTAATAATTTTACATTTTTATAAAAATATATATTTATACAATAAATACATACAATTAATTTCTTTTAATTTGGCTGTTATTTACTAGAAATTTTCTATAAAAATTTTTAATATTTGAAAATTATTAGCCTTGCATGTACGTACTGTGGTCCCCCAAAGAACAAATCAAAGTCACGAAATTCCAACCGCACACGTTGTCCACGATGTCCGACAAATTGATAACTACAAATAAGATCTTTCGGATAGGTGCCGGGATAAGTGGGAGACAATATGTTTCCATTACGTTTGATATCCACATGTATTGTAAAAGTACACGGTGTGCTTGGCTCTGGCGTGCCAACTTCATACTCGGCTACAAATAAGTTATGTTAAATATTAATGAACAATCCTGGAAAAATTTTGTTGAAATTGTAGAAATTTTGCTAAAATTTTGCAGAAATTTTTGCTGAAATTAATATTTCAACAAAAATGCTGAAAATTTGTTAAAATTTCACTGAAAATAAATTTTTCAGCAAAAATACTAAAAAATTATCAAAATTAAATTGAAATTCCTCTGTAAGTTTATCCGAAAATTTCGCTAAAATTTGCTGCAAAAATGCATAGTAAGTGATGCTTCTCTCAAAGTTCGACATTGTCCAACTGTGAACGAAACAATGCTGACTCTAGTTAATTGACCAACTGCTTCGAAGCATTTTTTGATTGATCAATTTTTTGAATAGTCTGTTCATTGCTTCTTTATTCACGGAATAGTAGTGAGAGTAGCTCCGCCGTCAAAGTTTCATTCTATTGAAAGATAAAGAGGACTTTAACAAAGAGCATTTGAACGCTGCTTTGTTTTTAGTGGGGGGAATTTTGCCGGAAAATAACAGTGGAAATATCTGTTAGTTTTGTTTACATTATAATGATCCAACAGTGTACGCGGCAAAATCTGCCGATTTAGTGGATCTTGTTTGATGGAACGAATAATATACCAAATCAATCTTATCTCATTAATGAAAATAATAGGTACAATCTGCAATAGCTTTTATTTCAACAAATGTTATTCAGGGCATGGTCCTGAACAACATTCAAGAGGTTTTAGAACGGTCGGTTAGACATGTTGGATAATGCTAACGTCGGCGATACTGTACCTTCCAAGCTTTATAACTTGAAAAGTATTTAATGAAAAATAACTTTATTATAGTGATTTGAAAACCAGCTATCTTGACATCAACTATTAGTAACATTATAACGATAAAACAGGCAAATAAGAGTCGATTCTTTAAAATGTAAATGTATAAAAATTATTAATAGTTAAATACATACATAATAGAAACATACATAATAGAAACATATATATCATTACATGTTTCGGCTCTTATATCGAGCCCTCTTCAGATTATCATCTTCACACTTTACATTAATTACTATCGTCAAAGAGATAAAAATCATGATGTAATGTGTTTCAATTTATGTAACAATTTTGATAAATGTTACATGAAAGACAGTTACTCACAAACGATTTGATCGATTGTTAAGGAATTTCATGATGTTCTGATCAAAAAGACAAATTCGTTTATCAATAAATAGATAAATAACTTGATAAAATAAAATTCTTTAGAAAAATTGTCTTTTTTATATTTTGTAAAAAGTAAGCAACAACATCATCTCGATGAAACACTCACCATCATAATCGCAATTATCGTTTCGTAGGAAGAATACTTCGTCCAAATCATTATAAAAATGTATAGAATATAATGACAAATACATCAATCAGATAGTGATGATAAATATACTTTACAGTATGATAACGAAATTAATTTTATGCAAAGATCGAATTATCCAGAAATATTATTCAAACGTAATGTTAATGGCACGGCAGACTGTCACTATCTGTGAGGAATGATTAATAAATTGACAAAACGACTCGATAAGAACCAAATTTTGTTTATAATAGGTGTATACGTTTTATAAAGATCTTCGGTGTCTGTTTGAAGATTGAGACTGTTTTTCTGCTTTTTGATATTTAACATCTTGGAAATTAAGCGTTGTATGGTTCTTCATCTAGTATCTGGATGTTATTCCAATCAAAATCATGTGTCACTTGCATTCTACATTCGGTGATTACGAAACGGATAGATGTATTCCAATGAATGATTGCGATATTCTGCAATTCTGATTTTAAATTGTCTACTCATTTGTTCGATATATGATGCATCACAATCATTATGATCGCATATCATGTTTAGCATGTCATCAGGCAAATATTTTAAAAACAATGTGAAACAAAACTTACAGGCGTTGATAAATTTGTAAATACCGCCGAAAATATGCGGCAACGTGACATTCTTGTCAGTGTAGAAACTGAGAGCAATTCCTTGATAAAGGGAGACCCGTCTACGTGGTGGAATTGGTCCGCAGAATCGTCCACCAAACGGTGTCTCTATTAACTTAGTCGTGTTCTCCGATCGTATCTCCGAGTAAATGTCCAGATATTCATGAATACAGCTGAAAAAGAAAGTATATCACGTAACTTTTAGATTCGTGATTCTCTGTATGTTTAGTGTGTCCGATGAATACACCTAATATTCGAATAAATGAATAAAAAATGAATGAAAATACTCATTCGAATTTCTTTTTTATTCGTTAAGAAACGAATAAATATTTTTTCATTCCATTTGAATGAATATTTTTTTAATATGATTACGAATATTTTCATTTCGTATTCACTTTTACTTTGTATTATCTGCACATAGCTTGCAAGCCTGCAAGAGAAAACATAAATCTATATAAACAATAATATATAAACGATTACACCGTGCGATAATTCACGACTTATACGGTGGGCGTCTTTGTGTAATCTATAGATTAAACAAAGACATTTTATTGAGAATAAATAATATATCTCGGAATTTAATGAAATAAAGGAAGTCCAACAAAATGTTTAAAATTTGCTTGAAGGTAATACTTGATACATAGAATGATTTTCTTACGAACTACTAAAATTTTGAATACAAGTAAATTGAAATGTTTTGTATGTTTGTGTGCAATTAGAAACATATAGACCGTCTACTTTTTTAAATAATTGCAATTAAAATGTGCATTTTTAATACAATTATAACAGCAACTAATTACTTTTTGAGAGAAAAAACTGTAACTAATTACTTTTATAAAGTAACTTTCCATCTCTGTTTGCCATTTAGAATTTATAGTGTAAAAATATCATATGAAGAACTTGGATTTCATTCTTTATGTCTGTTTCCATTCTTTGTAGATGAATTTTAATCTCGATTCAATTTATTCTTCATTTTTCTAATTTTTAGAACTAGAAAAAGATGAAGAATAATTTAAACCGTGATTAAAATTAATCTAAATTGATGAAAATAGATATCAATTTAGTGTAACAATTTTTTTCTTTGAAGTGCTCATACTCTTATCGCCTAACAGCTTAATTTTTTTTAAAAAGTTATATAACGAACTATTAATTGATAACATAACTTCTTACAAATACTTACGCTGGTAATTCTCCCACAGCAGATCCACTATCAGGAAAAGTATGCATATAAATATATATACATAAACAAGTATTCTTACGTAAGTTTCTATCATTTATTCACAAAAATTGTCAAATATAATTCGTATAATACAAAATTGTTAAATTCCTTTTTGTCTTTCATCTCTATCAAGTGCCGATCATTAAATTTTTCATAAAGAGAAATAAATAATATTCTTTCATGCGTTCAATTATAAATTTTTATAATTGATATATGAGAATATTACGGTTAAATATATGTATATTAAAAAGTAATAAAATAATATTACATATATAATCAAATATGTTACAGGGCATCCCAAAATTTGCAATTCAAAATCAGGACAGATCGAAAGATTGTTTCAGTTGGATTCCAATTATGATTTAATGAAATATGGAATAAGTTTAATCCGGTTTCAGTTTTAGTTCCTTAACTAATAAAAAAAAATCAGTAAAAATTAAAGTTTTTTAACATAAAAAATTTTTAAAATGATAGTACAGTCATTACCTATAGAATTTGGCCTCGGAAAAAATACCTACGGCTGAATTTTTGCACAGATCTTTATTTTTGCATAAGATTGAAGGAGAAAAAAGTTTACTATTGTACAGTCACTAAGAAAAATAATTAAATAATAATTAAATAAAGTTTAGTTTTAAAACACGCAAACATTATAATACGTTCTCTCTATACATATCAGCTATTGCAAAGAATATTTCTGAAGCCTCAGTGATCGAGTTGGGTACTCGCTCCAGTAAGTCGAGAGATCCCAGATCCGAACCCTGGCTGAGGTAATATTTTTCACAATAAGTTCTTTACAGTTTTTCTAATTTAAGGAGATTATTAGCATTTCAGACTGATTGTGTTAAAAGTCCGAAAGTTTCAGCGCGCAATCATGTCTGAAATAAATTGATTTAATAAAGAATACATATATGATATATTACATATATGATATTATTCAAAATATCTAACTTTTACCGCTAATAGCGTTCTCTATCATTGATGTTTCTTTTGTATTAATAAAAGAATTTTAATAATTAATGGCGGAAACTTAATTATATACCTAATATTCACAATAAATGACCAGATTGCGTTATTATGGTATTTTAACTTAATCAGAATACGTTAGTTAATTGTCAAAAGAATCATAATATAAATTTTGCTTTATCGGCTTTTTAAACATGCCAGAACATGTTGTGAATATTTTTTAAATGGCTATGACACAAATTTCGCATTATGGCTCTCAAAAGTCATAACACGTTGTGATCAATTTTTCCGCTCTGTGAGTATTTTTGGTCTTTGAGCTTAACATATACATTCGTATTACACTTCTTTTATATAGTTTGCTGAAAAAGACGATACTAATCAAAATTGGAGACGTTATATTACGTGATTCTGATTAGAGATTCTCTAGAAATGAGAACGAAGACTCACTCTGGCGGTTTTCCTCGAAGGCCAAACGACGTGAAAATCAATTCGACACGCTGACGCGGCCCTGCAAGAAATGTGTAAACGCATTGACGTGGCTCTCCTTCAGGGTTGGCCAATGTCGGTGCATGAAAGGTTCCGTTCAGCGGTCCATCAGGAGTGCTTACAAATTTTTGGTCGCACTCTGGAAATCAGGAAAAGTTATTACAATTTATAAAATTGCTTGATCGATCCGCTTGTGAATCAAATCGGTATAATATTTTGCAATTAGATCAGCTGTCAAAGAGAAGGCAATAGAAAAGGACACAAAACGACAAGATATACTTAGTATTTTGGCAGTAGTGAATCCTCCCGGTGGTGGTGGCAGTGATGGAAAGTAGTCTTGTGGTAGTGGTGCATCAAATATCTCGCGGGCTGAATTGAGGGAGGGTGCGATGATTCATGGATCCCGCGACAACATTCACCGCCACCGGGAACACACCACACCATGTTATAACCGTGTAAATAATAAAAATGATTATGATAATGAAACTAATATAAATATGACTTATTTATATATATAAGATGGAGCATATAAAATCTTACAATCTATTATCTCTGAAAGTAAACTCATAACACAAAATATATTTTATTAAGATCTCTCTAGAAAGCTCAAGAACTCTTCATCAAAAATTTAATTATAATATTATTTCGGTAGTTTAGCTGCATTTTAAGTCCGGAAAAATTTCGGCGCGTAATTCAAATGATTACAATATGATATATATGTATGTACATATATATTATAGTATATATTAATTCAATTAAGTCGGTGCTCGCAAAGATTTGCACATTTCGGGCTGATTCCGGTGAAAACGCATCTTACAATAGTATCTCACGGGTGATGTGGAAAACTATTATTGAAATGTACGTTGTCATAATTATGTAATGTATTAGAAAACTACGTTAAGATATAAGTATATCATTAAAGGACAAGGAATAAATTAATAATAGAAAATTTTATATTAATAGAAATAAATTATTTAATAAAAAACATGTTTCAATGATAATTTGGCGGAAGATACGCTCCCAGTATATTTCTGATATAGAGACGCTCCTGAACCAGAGCGTCATGTGAACGCAGTGCTGCCAGACATGTCCTGTACTCGCGCATGCGCGCAGTTCATAGTAGAGTATCTAATCCGTTCGTGAAACTAGTGTCCTTAGTCGTCCCAAAGAGAAATAGAATTATAAATATATAGACATATCTTTTATTGTGAGGTATCAATTTCTACATTAATACTATTCACATTATTTGTATGAGAAGCTGATTTGGCATGCTTTGATAAATTATATCGACAACATTTAAGCGAAATATTACAAATTTTACACCAAGCTTTATTGTCATTCTCTGTCAACCAACCTTTAAAAATATTGGGTCATCTAAAAAGTATCCGCGGTACTTTGTCACTAGATATATGACCATCAACACATCTAGTGACAAAAAACCGCGGATACTTTTTAGATGACCCAATATTTTCGTCTAATCAAGATCTAAATTTTTGGATACATATCTTTTTTGGGGCCTTTTTCCTAACTCCATTACGATTCATTTTCTGATCTAAAATATTTTATCTCATTTCTATTTTCCTTTTGGGATTCCTCGCACCTTCTGTTGTCCGGTTTGGCGCGCAAACTTTGCGGTCCACACGGCACCACATCGTTACTTTAACCTAACCCAATAGTTACAGCACTGCGCGCTTAGCTGTAAACAACGCATGCGCGAGTGCGGGGCATCACTGCGTGAGCGCTGGGCGGTTTGACCTATGGTGAGGGTTGCTCATCGGAATCAGCCCGAAATGTGCAAATCTTTGCGAGCACTAAATTAAGTATTTAAAAAATCCCAGCTTAAACCGTTATGGCCAGAATTTCCTATTTTCTATTTGATGAGTTACAAAATATTTTGTTATAGATAAAAATTATATGATTTAAAGAAAAATTAAAAGGAGAAAAAGGAATATTTCAGGATAGTATTAGGTGTTGGAATTAATTCGTAGCGTTTTACAAGTGATGGGAAGTACTTTCATTAATGTATTTTTTAATGCTCATGTGAAATAAATAACATTCTTTCATTAAAAAACGCTACGAATTAATTCCAACACCTAATATATATACAGTAGTATCTCGGCGCTAAGAAAAGTGCAGTGACACTACCGAATTTCTTTACACGAGCCGGCGATCGGATTTTCCGATTTTCACTAAAAAAATAAAGATTTATTATAATTTTTTTTTTTAATGATTCCCTCAACACATAATTTCTTTTCTACGTGATTCTACATTCCAAATACTAAATAAAAAATCTCTACATGAATTAAATTGGAGTCGGCCCAAAGAATAGTGCTACTGAAATATTTTTGATCAATTTTTTGAAGCTGGAAAGTTTTCCAAGTCCGCTAGCGATCAAAACTTTTATTCTTTTTATTATTTCAGTACGTTGTGTAATACGTCATTTCAAACAACTTCCCGCAGACAAATCTTTTATGGCAATTTTTCTTCCAAAACGCAAAAAAGTTTAATTTTTCTCGGCTAAATTCGTGAAACGTTTTAAAAGTTGTTCAATGTGTTTTCTACTAACCTGTGGAATTGTGTGGACACAGTAGCAAGAGTATCACGAAGATAGGTGAAAGAAAACTATTTCCAGAGACATGCCAAAGTACTGAGGCCATATTGCATCCTGAAATAATCATTCATATGTACTTCTCGATTATTATCGACATCCATAGATATTATAGTTCTTAAAAACATTAAAAGAAGTAACATAGCATTTTGTAAAATGTCTTTACCATATCGTCAATATCTATTCCAAAGAACGGGGAAAACTAATCCAAAAGATCATCTGCAATATATAATTCCGTTTTAATTGCTAAAATTGTATACATATGTGTAGGTTAAAAGCACTAGACGTGGATCAGGCATTAGTTCCGAATCAATAAATAATTTTGAATTTGATTTACTTATATAATGATTATAATGTCAATTTTATTTTGTTGACGTTCTTATATATTATATTTTCAATGCTTAGCTAGAATATTTACTATGTGATCTTTCGCTTATTTTAATATTGTTTTAAACCTGCGAAATGTCTTAACGTACGGACGTAATACAGACTCTGCCGATCTTCATATCTGCTTTCTCGTTCTTACAAATGTAATTTTGTGATTAATTATGTATTAAAGATTTTTGATACGCTCTCTATCTACTAAAATAAGTCATTCTATTTTTTAGTGTTTTACATTCTTTCATACTAATTAATTTTCTTGTATCGTCAGATTTTACACCACTTCATTTCTGGCAATTTGTGAGTAACATAATCTTTTTGGATGTGAACTTTTCGTTATATATTGATGTAGTTGCTGAGGAAGATTCCAAAGTGAATTGAAATTTTCAAAATAAAGAAGACATTTATTTATTGATAGAAAATTCATAATTTCATTAGCTTTGATTTATGTTAGTTATATGTATACTTGATAACGTTATTATTTTTAAAAAAGTTTTGAAGGAATGGTTATGAATTTAAAAACAGAGTTTCTACGAATGCGAAAAGTTAATCTGAAAATGAATCTTAAAAAATGTATTCTCTTTAAGAGAGAAATAAAGTATTTAGGACACTTAGTCTCGAGCGCGGGCATTACCGCAGATCCTGAAAAAATTTCGGTTGTGAAAGACTGGCCTATTCCTCGAAATAAAAAATGTTTACAAATTTTGCTCTTATTATTACAAATTTGTAAAAGGATTTCCTTCAATAACAAAACCGTTCTATACACTTATAGAAAATCAAATAAAATTTATTTGGGAAGAAAAGTCTTAATCTTAATAAAATCTTAATTAAAAGAAGAACTTCCTCTTCGGTTCTCTTTCAAAATGAAGTAGGAGAGTACGTTTTGATAATGATGCGTCCGATTTTGGAATTAGGACAGTCTTGGCACAGAAACAGGGGATGATGAAAAGGGTTATCGCTTATTTCAGTCGAGTTTTGAACAAGGTTAAGAGGAATTAACGCGTCGTAAACTATTGTCCATTGGTGAAGTTTTTTCATCATTATTTGTATGGAAAGAAATTTTAAGTCCGAATGGACGTCTCACTCAAGGCTAATGTCCTTTATAGATCTGTAAGGACAGTTGGCGTGCTGAATGGAAAGGCTGCAGCAGTATAATTTTGAGGTGCTACATCGGAAAGAATTTTATAGAAATGCGGATGGACTTTCCAGGCATCCTTATGAAAATGCTGATTGTCGATATTGTTATCGGATGAAAATAAAGGAAGCTTTAAAGTGAGAAAGTTCTATTACTCGAATCGTTATTTGAAAAAAGTTCTGAGGATTGGCGAAAGGAATAACTGAAGAATCCGAGTATTTCTGTTATTCTTCGAGGCAAAGAGGTTGGGGAGCGTCCATGCTGGCAGGAAATTGCGTCAAGAGACGTTTTCGCGAAAATCTATTGGACTAGGATTTCTTTGAGATTAGAAACGGTGTTTTTCATTTTTCAAAGGGATCGAATTTAAAGAAAAGCATTTTGCAATTAATTGTTCTTAAAAAAGCATTTTGTTATTAATTGTTCTGTTTATCGAATTAGACAAATATTAGAGGGAATTCATGCTTTGATTCTGCTTTTGGGGGACATTTTGGACAATAAGACTCTGGAGAAAGGCCATAAGCGATTTTATTGAGCAACTTGCAAGCAAGATTTAAAAGATTGGTGCAGAACATGTAAAGTTTATATCGTCGGTAAAAGCCCTTCGAGAAAGGGAAAATCCTCATTACAAATTTACAATGTCGATACTCCGCTAGAGAGAGAGAGTGCAAATGAACATTCTTGATTCCCTTCAACAATCCAGAGGGATTGTTATCCCTCCCCGATAATATTATCGAGGAATAAATATTTGCTTGTGATGACCGACTGTTTCACTAAATGAGTGGAAGCCTTTTTTGAAAAACATTAGAGCCAAAACTATTTCGGAGATTTTCTTAAGCCAGTTGATCTCCAGCCATAGGGTTCCTTTGGAAATCCATACGAATCAAGAGAAGAACTTTGAGGCAAATTGAAAAATTTTTCAGGAATTAATAAATCTATTGGGAATTAAAAAAAAACAAGGACTACCGTTTTGCATCCTTATATAATAATTAGACAAACAGGTGGAACATCAACATCGAATGATTTCAAATTACCTAGCGAAGTATATTTCTGAAAATCAAAAGCACTGGAACCGATGAATTCCGATGTATTTGCTGGCTTATAGATCATCAAAACTCACGCCAGCCAAATTGTATTTCACTTGAGATCTTCGAATACTGGTAAACGATTAACTTATTAGGAAGTTCTTCTGGACTTGAGAAGGCGGATTTCTCGGTTGAGAATTGCTTAAATGAAATTAGACGAAGTTACAGGAAATCCATGAAGATATAAGGAAATGTGTTGATGTTAAGTCTTCTCGCATTAAAACCTGGTACGACTAAAAGGCAAATCCATTTCAATAAAGGACAGAAAGTTTGGTTATATAATTCTCGAAAAACAAAAGATAGGACTCTAAAATTTCAGAGTAGGTAGGAAAGGGATCATAAAGAAACTTAACAATGTGATTTATTCGCAAGTTGGACAAGTGTAAAAATAAAGTCGTTCACTCAGATAGATTAGCTCCTTATTAAAGACATTTAGAGGAAAAGTAACTTGTCAAATCGGAGCCCTAATCTACTAAGATAACTAATGAATTATTTTTGTTTTAATTTATGATATAAGCTGCGCGGTTAAACTTTTTTTCAGTTCCAGAACATGTTGCTTGAGTTATGTTGGAATGGACAGAAAGATAGTTTTACAGGCGTGGAGAACCGATGGAGATCGGTACGAAGAATTAGTGTAGAAAAATTTGTAGAGAGACAAGTACAGAAGATACGTGGTGATTGGTACAATATTGTGCGAAGTTTTTTTTTTTTAAGATATCTTGCTCGCGATTTTTGATCCGCATTGGTTTTTCCGCAGGACGATGGGCAAATGCCGAGGCGGGGATTTGGGGCAGAGAGGTACCGCGGAAAATAAATCCTCTCCCTGGTCCGAAGAAAGAAGCAACAAGGCGCAATAGAAGAGGGAAGAGGATTATTGAGTTATTTATTTTCCTCAATTAAGAAGATTGAAGCTAAGTAGATGCCCTCCGAATTTATGTATTTCATCCGGAAGACTGGCCATCTTCTAAAGGATATGAGAAGGGATCCTGCTGCTGAAGGGCCTTCGATTGAGGAGGAACGGATCCTGATAGGAGCGGAGCCCAGTGTTCCATCTCGACAGTGTGGATTAAGGCAGAAAACCGTCTGAGGATTAAAAAATCCAGGAATTTCCCTCGGAAATACTTTAATCGTCAAGCCTTGATTGTCAGGATGACAATCTAGAAGAAGGAGGGCAGTGTTATGTCCATGCCGAGCTCCAGGTTGCATCGAACCATAGCTTAGAAAAACAAAGAGCGCGTTCTTTGGGCAAGATGCGCGATTATCAAGCAAACGACTTCAAGTTTCGTATTGAACCGCACGGACGTGCTCTGTCACGCTCTTTCTTTCCGCACGCTGCTTCCGCTATACTCGTCTATAGTATCCAATAAAGTGTTCCTTCTATACACACAAGTGTTTCTTTTATTGCCGAGAGCGCAACCGCATGCGCGAGCGCGAGTTTACAAGACCACTCGTCGCTGGTATAACAATAGCTATAATAGTCATATAAATAAGCCTTATTTAATAAGCACATTGTTTAAAAGAAATACTTATACTCCACAAATTTTTGTTGTGTTAAACAAATGTGTTGCTACCAATTTCAATTTTTTAATCCCTTTTTATCTATTTTCTATAACATATCTTTTAAATATATTGTAGGCGTAAAGCGAATTTTAAAGTAATAAATTTAAAAATGGGCCTTATTTAGTGCTGGATCTTATTCGGCTCGGATACCTTAATTCATTTTTATCACAAGATAACTTCGACACTAGTTGGAACATTTACCTTACGATTTTCCATACGAAGCGAGGTCCACCCATGGTGGAAGGAATTAACATGATGTGATCAGTTTGAGTAAACCACGCCCTTTTGCGAGTCGGAATACTGTTCAAAACCCAGGCCTGCCAACTGCAAAAAAATAAATGTTTTTGCTACGACTGATTATGCATCTTCGTCAGATCCCGCTATATGTCCTTTTCTCTCTTCGTTTCAAAGTGTGGTGCAACATCAATTGTCAAGCAAGTGTCAAATGTGATTTCAAGCATTTATTAGAGTGCGTATTATGAAATTATTCGAAATAAATTCCTATATTGGAATTATTCAATTATTCCTTAGATTTCTATTGTTTCTTAGGAAAAATAGAATGATTCCGTAGATGCTGAGGAGGATTCCGCCAAGCTATACGTTAGTATAAGTTGTTTATTTATTTATTTATTTATTTATTTGTTCATTCACCCAGGAAAAAATATTTTATATATAATTGTATATACATGGACATCACAATATATAAAATATATCCCTATACAGGTTGTCCCAAAATTTTTCGCCAAGCGCTCTTGTGTAGATAGAGCTGATTAAATTGAATTGAAAAGTCCACTACCATTTTGCAATTTTCGCAATAGTTAACAAAATATTAATTATAACTAAAAATTGCTGAATATTGGTTTTCAATCATTTTTTATTCAAATATTATTAAAACATTTATTCTTTACAGAAAAAGACAAAACAGCGAAAGACAAAAATTGTTTATTTTCTTCTCATAAAGTTCTGAGATTTTTTTCAGAATTTTTTTAGAATTTTTTAATACCGTATTCTTTCATGTTGGTAATAATAGTTGCCAATAAGAAAATGCAGTACTAAAAAGT